CGACGTCGACTGTGTCATCGCGTGACAGTGCGACAGCCTGAACACGCAGGCAATTTCCGCAGCTCGGCTACGCGACAGTGAGGGCACGCGGGTAGCCGGGGCAACCGGGTAGGCGGGCACGTGACCGTCGTTCACACGACAACAGGGGGGGCAGGCGGGCAGTTTCCGTAGATCGATGCACACGGGCAGCTGGGGCAACCCGGCAAGCGCGCCGCGGGGCAGGTTGGGCAGGCAACACGGCTAGAGCGGGTAGACGGGTTTTCCGAATCATTTTCGGGTTTCCAGGTCAATCTGAACCCGACCCGATTTTGCAAACTAATCAATTTTCTTGACCCGATCTCAACTCGCTTCGGATTCGGGTCAACCCAAACCCGAAATTTTCAAGTCGAGATTTCGGGTCGAGTCTAATATCGACACCCCTATATCTAAAGCTCAAGAAAGAGACTCTGATGTTTGTAGATATATCATATATCTATGTGTGTAAATATTGATGTATGATAAATATGATTGATTGTATTTTTATTCTTCTTCTATGTCTCTACCGACTTATTTATAATATCACATGCTTCTAAAAGATCGATTGAAGAATCAGAAGAATCACAGATTGATCGATCGAGTTGATATGAAGTTTGTTCATATAGTTAATTAGTAGTTGTGATATGAAATTGATTAATACTTCTAAAAGCCTTATGATTCACGTATATAATGGAGATGTTTTTTTTCATACTAGAATAGATTTTGAAGATTACACGCCTACTCATCCTATAACACCTACATAGTTATGAAAAATATTTAGAAAAATCTTATTATATAGCACTAAAGCATTATTTTTTTCTCTCTCCATCTCTAACTTTATGCATTTTATCTTGTTTAGGTTCACCCTTTACTTTGAAGGGATTGACCCAAAAAATTTTACCAAATCATTTGAAATATCACGAGCTTCAATCAAGCCATATTTTTCTTCTTATTTTTACTATCATATTTTATATATTTTTGGATATTTATGCTAATTAAGACAAATTCATACACATCACATACGTAAGACTCGAACTCAAGACCTTTTGGTTGGTAGCCAAAATTCTCAACCAACAGACCAATGTGAGTTGCATTTTTTTACTCTCAGATAAGGTTCAAATTATTTTACTACCGAACAATATTAGATACAACACATTTAAGCTCTTTTAAATTAAATTTATATTTTTCCCAAATAAAAATAAAAATAAATGAATGCTCTTAAATTATTTCTTCATAAAAATCATTAATCTATATATTAAAAGAAAAATGAAATAAAATTTCAATTTAAACCAAATAAAATAAAACTTGAACTAAACAGTTGAATTCTATTCGAACTCAGTTTGATTTATACCTAAATTGACTGATCAGTACAGTCCCATTCCAAATTGATTTGGACCACCGAATTGCTCCCCTCTAATTTGAACTATTGCATTTTTCCCGTTTCGGTCCATCTTAACCGTTCTATTTTAAGAATTAACCTCCCGTAAATTGTTTTTTTGCAATTGCACCCTTAAGGAAACAAATAATTAATTACAGCAGACACCACGGCAAGGTGCGTCAAATTATATAAATCGAAAAAAAAAAAAAAACTGTGCATGTGTGCTAAGTGTGTAAACAAGTTGTGTCGAGCTCGAATCACTCCGGGTTTGAACTCGAGTTTGAACTTGATTAATTTTACGACTTTGAGACAGCTCACGGGCTGGCTCAATTTTTATAAAAAGAGAAAATGATTATGATTCAAACCGATATTATAATAAAATGATAACAAGAATAGAAAAATTAAAAAAAATTAAGAAATAATCACTTATCATAAGAAAGTGATATATATATATTTAACAACTTTATATTTACAATCTTGAATGCTAATATATTTTAATTGTGTAATTTGTAATAGCCCGTATATTGACTCTGTCAAATATATTTTTATGGAGTCAATATAAGTCTAAATCTCAAATCATCTTTGTTATATCATTGATATTTTAGTATTTTAATTACCCAAATTTTTTCATAATTTTTTAGAATTGAATACAGATATATATTGATATTTTGATCGATAGTTTTATTTATGCTGCGATTGATATTGATAAAAGAAATTAGATAGATCTGGTTGTTGTTATTAAAAGATAAAATAATAATTCTTCCAAATTATATTATGGGGCATCACATAAATGAACCAGCTTGCGAGCTAACGAGTTGAGTCATAGCTGGCTCAAGCTTGACTCATTAACTCATCGAGCTCAGCTCATTAGCTATTTATTGAGCCGGCTCACAAGTCAATTTGACTCAATTACACCCCTAATGTGGACATCAAAACTGTTAGATTTGTATTAAGATCAATACAATATAAAATATCATGATATAAAACTAATTTTAATGTAAATATAACAGCTTTGGAGTTCATCCTGATATGTATATTTTGAATTTTTTTGTATTAGATTATTCTTATTAAAATTTTAATTATGAGATATTTTAAAATTTTTTGTGTTTATTTTAAAATAAATATAATATAAAATTTAATTGATTTTTTATTAACAATTATGAATAATATGATTTAAGTTTCATTAAATTGATACAAATTTTACACGAATCTTAATGCAATGTTATGAACTTAGAACGTCCAAAAGTGATGCTGATTTTGCTTCAGATGATTAGATAGAAATTAGATTTGAATTTATTTTTTTAAAGGTTCTATTAATGATAATTAGATAAGTCCCACCTAACGTGAAGGTACTATGCTTGATTTCGGGCGGTTAAGACTCTTATGGCATATTTGATTATCAAGCCAAGCTAGACTTGTTGATCGATCAAAGATTATTTTCATATTTGATATTTTGTAATTTCACTTTTTTTTTAAGATATTATATTTTGCTTGCTTGAAAATTGGAAAATATATAATTATGAAACATGTCGTGCAAGTTTCTCTTTTAATGAATGTGAGGAAGAATATTGGATGGTGTTAGTCGATCAATGGTGATCGAATGATGGTAATCGATTGATGACGGTTAGGTGATGATGATCAAGTGACGGTAGTTAAATGATGACTATCCGACGATGATGAATGGGTTGGGATAATCAGGCGATGTTATACATGTAACAACAGTCTAGGGAGGGGATAATGTCCATATATAGCTGTTAGGCTGTGACAGTTAGGCTTCAGCGGTCATACGATGACAGTGATAATCATTGACACAAAACATTAAGTAGAGCTTTATATTTCTTCATATCTCTAAGCTCTCTCCAAACTTAAGTTTATATTATCTTTCAAATGGAGAGTGTAGGTTTAGTTACGGTGTTTTTGGAGTAATAGTTTGATAAGTTCAGCCAAAGTGTTATAATATTCCATTGAACGACTCATAGGAATCCTCTGAACATAGACTATTTATTTAGCATTTGAGTATCTTAATGACCTCAAATTTGAGGGATATTGTGTGAAACCCCTTATGTAAAAGAAACTAAACTCTTAAACATCATGTCTCCTTTTGGTGTAATGCTTGAAATTTTCGTAAGAAACTTCGTTGTTAAGCGTGCTCATCTCGGAGCAATTCTAGGATGGGTGAACTACTGGGAAGTTATACCAACATGACAAAATCGTGAGGCTCTTAGTCCAAAGCAGACAATATCTCGATAGTTTAAAGTTTGGGTTGTTACAAATGATATCAGAGCAATACACTAGCTGGAAAATGGGTGCTAAGTGTCATAAAAGACAAAGTACTATGTTATGGGAGCCACCTCTTGAATCATGTATAGGACAAAGTGCTACATGGCGAGAGCCACCACTTGAACTTCTAAGAGCCACCTCTAGAATCTTATTTTCCTAGTGGATAATTCTGAGATAAAGATGCTGACGAGAATGTCAATTATTTAAGTGGGGGAGATTATGAAATCCTTAAGTAAAAGAATCTAAACTCTTTAACATCGAGGCACCTTTTGGTTTAATGGTTAAAATTTTCGCAATAAACTTCACAATTAAGTGTGCTCATGCTGGAGCAATTTTGAGATGGGTGACCTACTGGGAAGTCACATAAACAAGACAAAACGGTGAGGCTCTTAGGAGAAAGCAGATAATATCTCAATAGTTAAGAGTTTGGATTGTTACATATTGAGCCAATTGGATTCATCTCACTATGCTGCTCTATTTGGCTATTACATACATATTTTAGAGATCATCTAATCCTCAAATCAATATCATAAAGTATTCAATTTATTTTAAGAGCTTTATTTGGGCTTATCTAGAATTGGATTGAATCAATTTATGTGTCATTGGATTATTATTATCAAGACACTTAATTTAATTATAAATTTGCTAAAATTGAAGTTTAGATGATTCTGAATTTAATTTTTTAATATTTTAATATAAATATTATCATTAATGTTTAATTAACTCATTTAATTATAATAAAATCATATTAATTTAACATCTACATATACAAAAATAATTCCCTCAAAGATTATAATTATATCAAAATATTTGCATTATTTAATTTTTCATGATGTAAAAAAAGTTAAATAACAACATAATATTATCAAATTAGGTGAAATTTGGGTAAACATATTTTATTTAAATTTGATAAATTGGATTTTAAATTCATTAATTTTACTTCAAGATTGGTATGCTACACAATTAATGAAAATTTTATAAAACCCATTTTTAAATCAAATATGATCTATATAATAAATTTTTTAATTAAATTTTAATCAGCATATTTTCACCTTTTTTCTATCAAAATGAGCCCTAATTTCGCAATAATTAATGCAATGAATATAATTCAGATCAAACGACTAATTTATTAATTTCTAATAAATTATATTTGATGCACATTAAATAAAATAATTAATTAACTTTAATAATAATAATGCACTTCAGATCCACATCAAGCCTTAATTACTAAAATTTGCGAGGTCAATTATGCAAAATGCTTAATTGCAAAAATACCTTTAAGAAACATTTACAGTAACAGTTAAAACCAGAAGAAAGGCGAGGCGGGGCCAGCTCAGTTCTTCGTGACATCGCAACCGCGGCTCCTATGTAAAATTTCTATCCTCTCTTCTGTCCGCGTCCGTGCACTAAAGCCGCCGAAGAAGAAGCAAATCTGATCGGCGAAGCCCTCCTTCTAATCCGCGCTAGACGGAATCCGATAGCCTAATTCGCTGGACTCCAATCTGATCATCCACGGAAAGCTCCTTCCGATCTGAATCCGGAATTATCGCCACCTCTTGATCGGACACACCGTCGGAGAATCTGGATCTCCACGAAGGTCCGCTGATCCGCCTTGGATTTTCCGCTGTGGATGGGGAGTTGTAGGGAGGAATCGGAGAGGTGGAGCGGTTGAGAAGGTTACGATGCCGGGATTGCTGCAGAGAGGCGTTCAATTTGGACATGCTCCGGCGACGGCTTGCTCGGCATTCAGCGGCGCCGCCGGATCTCTGCCTGTTTCTAACGCTATCTGGTCCAGACAGCGAGAGGATGTCAGCTTCGATCTGCTACGGAAGGTTTCGCCTCGTTTATCGGCAACATTAAATCCTTTTTTTTCCGCTGTGGTTTTCAGTGGCTGAATTTGGATTACCTTAGAATTCGATTTATAGGATTTGGTTCTCTATTGTGTTCTGTTCGTTTTTTCTTACGTTGACTCGATGGATCTGAATTTGCTGTTTGATTGGATGTTTATACTCGCTAGATGAGAAAATGCAACTTTCTTGAAATGCAGCTGAAGTTAATATATGGAGGTTTATTCACGTGCTGGTTGTGAACATTTTCACTCATGCAGTTGTAGTGAATACCACCTCAGCTCTTATATGTCAATGCACCGGGCTTTGTTCAGCAATTTCGTGCATCAATTTGGCTCTTATTATCATAGTCGATAGATATCTACATTTCAACTTCTCTGCGTCTTGGGGCTGTTTGTTTCAATATAATACTATTGTAATATTATGCTAAATATTTTACTGATAATAAAAGGTGCTTAATTTGATGCTGTCTCCTCCATTGAAATAATTTGAATTGCATTAATACGATACATTGAGCTAATCTACATAGCAGCCATACTAGAACTTGATGCTATTTAGATTCCACAATCTTCATGGACGAAAGAGAGGAGAAGAAAGAGGAAGATCATAATTATTGTTGAACTTTTTAGATTGCCCTGTATTTGTTTGGTAAAATGGCACTGAAGCAGACGCATTGTATTTTACAATAAAAGATTGTTATCTAAATAGCATTGCTACCTAGATAACACTTTTGTCTAGAGAACAGTTCAATAAATTATTTTCTTCATTTCCCTTTTTTAATAAATTGCTAGGGGGAATATTGTGATTGTGGGGACTTGTGCATACTTCAAGAGTGGTTCTAGAAGGACCATTTTAATATTTTATGTTTGTTTTTTTTACTGCATTATATTTTTTAGAGATATCTAGCTTTCTTGGGTTTGTGTTCTAGTAAACCCTATTATCACTATGCATTTTTGTTAATGGTGATGAAACATAAACTAATTACTCTTTTCCTTACATAAATGTTGCTTAAATCAGTTTTGGTGCGAATTGCCAATCCAAGCCCGAAGGGAGCTCCTGAGGATAGATAAGCAGACACTTTGTGAACAAGCTAGGAAGAACCTATACTGTTCCAGGTGCCATGGGTTGCTTCTGGAATGTTACTCACAAATTGTTATGTATGGGAAGTCCTTGCAGCAAGAGATTACTGGCGGATGCTTTCCTCAAAAAACAACTGCTGAGGTCCTTGCTGACAATGAATCTGATCATTTACAAGACCCTTGTGTGCACCCATGGGGAGGCTTGGCGACAACGAAGGATGGAATGCTTACTCTTCTTGATTGTTTTATTTGTGCAAGTTCACCTGATGTGATCCACAAAGTATGTTATTACTAATTTCCCTTGCACATTGCTTTCCTCAATGGCACCATTCATTCACCTTTGCCTTTTATGGAAATGTAAAAATTCTGCATCTAGAGTGACTACTAGTTTGTGAAGAATGCATGCCTCTCACAATAAGAATATAATTCAGATTTTAAATCCTGAAATCTTAGCATGATCGCATATACTTAGAACTTTCTTTTGACAATATTTAGCATTTTCGTCTTAATATTTGTAGCTGTGTATAACAAAGCGTATTCTTATCTCAATCATGTGATCATAGAAAGTAAAAATGTGGAAATGTCATAGCTCGAGCATTCTTGTTTATTTTTATTCTTTTTGTAAGAGAGTTTGGTCCAAAGGGGATCAAATTGGGGCATAATGCCAATGATACATTTTCAACCCAAAGTTTAAGTTGATATGTTAACGAACAATGATTAATATGTCTATATTCAATATTTTTTAATTATCATATGTGAAATTAAATAACTCTTTGATTTTCCTAAACAAATTTCCTAAACAAATCTCACTGTAGGATGTCTTAATAGTTGTTGATGAAGCAATAACATAGATATATGCCACTCAAATCTAACCGCTCCACTTCGGTATTTTTGTGGGATTTGGGTTTCATATCAAATTTGTGAAAAAAAATGTATATATATATATGTATGTATATAAAATGTGTGTGCGCACGCTATAGGTTGATGCTAACCTATTTTTTAATATTTTAGGATGAATAGATGACTGATCATTTTTTTAATATTAAGTACCCGTAGAGTGAAGGCTATGTCTTTCTCCAAGGATTTATGTTACTTGTTGTTATCATAGTCTATGGCTAGCTCTCCCATGGTCCGAGTAAAATTAACTTTTGTAACTGTTTTCTTTTGTGCATCATTGGTGTATGAAGCTTTATTGGTATGGAAGATTTTCCATTTTAGAAGTGATTTTTGGTGTGGAGAATTCTCACATGAACCAAAGTTTTGTTTTGAAATGTGAAAGTGTTGGGTATTGCCTCATATTGTGTTTCAAATTGTTAATATATTATAAATTAATACTTACCTACTATCTTAAGCTTTTGGTTTTGCTATCCATTACTGTAATGGGCCCTTTGCTGCCCAATAGTATCATATTCCTTTATAATTTTCTTTTTGTATATTCTTAAATATGAAAGCAACCATGCTAATTTACTCATAATACCTTTTTCCTCTAATTTTTATGAAGGATTGTTGTTTTAAAATCATTATCATTCTAATACAGTTTGTTTTATGTTGGAGCATGCTTAATTAATATTATTTCCTAATACTCCAATAAGAATAGAAATAAGTTCATTCCATTCCATATGTAAGAATATTCTTCAAAAGTTGTTAGTATTGGTTGTTATTATCTTATTATTCAAATTTATTTTATTGTATTTTCTGGTTTCTCCTAAATATATAATGCAAGTCAAAGGAGAATAGAGACTCAGATGAAGTTATTTAAAGTGTGGAGATAATAAGATATTAGTTAAAGATGAGGATATCAAGGAGAAATGAAAGTATTAGTTGAAGATACTAATTAATAAGAGTTTTAAGAAAGAATTTTTCTTAAAAAATAAAAAATGAACATAACAATGAAGTTTATTGTAATTAATCCAAAAAATGAGCTTCATTTAACTTTAAAGAAGATGCAAAAAAGGATTTACATAAGATTTCTATTGAAATTTAGTGAGTAATGAGAGATTGAGTAGTTTGATAATAAATCATTTTAATGAAATCTTAAAGACTAAGACAATGCTAAATGATTGTACCAAAAAAGTTGTTTCTTATCAATATTGAAGAACAAAAAAAAATTCAAGATTGTAGTCATTATAAGATAATCAAACTTATGAATGCTATAATAAATTTGTAGGGGAGGGTAATGGACAATTAGCTAAAAAATCATGTTTCGAAGAATCAATTTAATTATATACGAAGAGGAGCTACTTGGATGACACTTTTTTTAGGAAATTAATAGAAACATATATAAATTAAGAAAATGGTCTTCATAAGATCTTTGTGCGTCTTAGAAAGCCAGATGATTAGTTATTACAACTTCTTTTTTCGTAGGCATTAAAAAGAAGAAAAATTGTATGTCAAAGGGATGGTGATTTTATTAAAGATATATATGACAAAGTAGTGATTAGTATTACAAAGTTGTTGTAAAGTATCTAAAGAGGTTTGAACAATTAATTTGAATTTTTTGGTTTGAATTGTGGGATGCTTACTAGTGATATCAAATTGAGGTACCTCAATACATGCTATTATTTAATGAAATAGTTTTGGCAGGTGAGACTTTTTGTGAAATAAGTTAAAAATGAGTAAAACTGATAATTTTTTAAATGATAAGAGGCATAATATATGTAAAAAATTTTAAATGAAGTGTAATTTTAATCGAGGTGAAATTAATAATTATTATACAGCTTCATTAGATGATCAAGCAATACCTTGATGCAATAGTTCTTAATTATAATGGACCTATTACATAATACAATGAGAATATAGATGCTAGCCTGACTTTTGGAGTTAAAGAAGTGCCATTTAAAAGGAATTGGAGTACTATACAATAGAAAATATCATGTAGACTTGAAAGAATAAATTTTATAGAATTATTACTAAATTGGCTATATTATATACATTTGAGGTTTTAAAAATAACGAGATTATTATTGGTGAAGTTGAAGTTTGGCATTAATTTAAAAAGTTTAGCTTGATTAGCGGTTGAACTTGGAAGGATAGTGTGTGAAATGATTATATTTGAGTTGTGTTGAAGTGGCATCTATTGAGGATAATGTAATGAAATTTAGACATTGATGGTTTTAACTGATACAAGGAGCCTTGAAGATGCACCAATGATATCAATACTTTACATGGATAGAAGTTGTATGAAAATCTTTCACAAGTTTGAGTAAATAACTCATATAGCGTTCTATCTATGAGTGACTGGAGAAAGAGGATTCATAGAGTTGATCCCAAAATTATTGATGATTGATGACAGGAATAGATTTTTAATAATAGAAAGCTCTTTTTTTTTTTAATTATATGGAGGTGCACAATATATGATGATTGCCTTGAAAAATCTAATTGCATATTTCATAAAAACAAGCTGTTTATGTTTTAAAATGCTAGGAGGATCCAATATTTGTATCCATTCATATTTATTTCAAAACATGCTAGTCATATATAACATTGAACTACTTTTTTCGTTTAAAAGTGGCATGTTATGCATTGGAAGTCTTAGTTGTTTCAACATGATTCCTGTTGCATAACTTACATCTATCCTTGTCTTTAAGCTATTTCAATTGTCTTATACATATTTCACGATTCTGGAGGGTACACTACTTTCACGTTTAATCTTCTCAACTTATTTGACTTCTTACATGTTCTTGTTTTCAGGTTTTTAGTGGTGCTCGGCAAAGAGAGCATGATCGAGAATTGCTATATCCTGATGCATGTGGAGGTGGAGGCCGTGGTTGGATAAGTCAAGGGTTGGCTAATTATGGACGAGTTCATGGAGCAAGAGAAACTTGTGCTTTGCACACTTCTAGGCTTTCATGTGATACACTGCTAGACTTCTGGTCTGCATTGGGTGATGAAACTAGATCAGCTCTACTCCATATGAAGGAGGAGGATTTCATCGAGAGGCTCATGTACCGGTAAGTTTTGTCATGCTAATTTATTGTGGAAAGTTGTTTCTGTTAAAATTGCAGGATGTATTGGTCGAAACATTCTTGCATGTTATACCTGGTTATTCCTAGAAATGATATACATAGGTTTTCAAACTAGTCGCATGAATTCCTTTCAAATCATACAAGCAATAACTTAATGTGCCTGAACTAAGAAGTATAAATTCAACTTAATGTTATTTGTGCCAAACAAGTGAAGTATCTCATTATTTGAGAAATAAATCCCCTGCCTCTTTAATCAACCATTGGCATGCGTATGCTCAATTTTCCCATTCTAAAATTGTATAAAAATTCTTGCCTTCGTGTGCCAATAGTTACTCTTGATGCCTAGCATCATTCCTTGAGCTCCACAGCTGAAATCAGATCATTATGACTATGGTTAACAAAAGCATTACATATGTATTGAGGTGTAAATGCGAGAGAATATTTGTTATCCTTGAATGATGGATGTGGTTGGTCACATGTTGATATGAAGTTGATTGATGTAACAAGGGATATTGGTTGTCGGACTTGACATAACCTCCCAGTAATGCATGGTAAGGGTATCTCAATGATTCTCCTCCAATGATCAGGTTAATGCAGAAATTGGGAAGGTTCTCCTGAGAAGGAATCTCAAGAAAGGGTCAACAAATCAAGTGATCACAAAGAGGAAGTGGAGACTCTGGGAAAGGAGACTTTGGAGAGGGAAAGAGACGTATGAACACATTCACATGCATGACTTTATTTGTAGGGTATATTTATAATTTTAAACTTGGGGTCGGTGAGTTACTTTGGGCTTTTCCATAGGTAGTTATTAGCTTAATTTGTTATAATGTGGGATACACTGCTATGTTCGAAAGAATTTTTTTTGGTTGAGCTTGTAGGTTTATTGTTGCGAACCAATTTTAGTTCTGAGTGAATTGGTTGAGCCTGTGCAACTGTGTGCATTTTTTGCGATTTTAATCTCATGATTATCAAACAGAAGACTTTTATCAGGATATTTTGGGGTCAAACAACATGCACAATCATTATGCAGTTAAAGATTTACTTGTTGAATTAAAGAAAAAATGGAAATCAAGTTCTACAGAGCTATGAGTAATGCTTATTATGTGTGATCATTTTACAAATTAAATACATTTGATGGTTGCCCATTTTGAAGTAGAGAAAAAATAAAGAACTTATATCCTTATATTACTAGCATTTTAAATCTATTTTTTGAAACTTGTTAAAAAACAGCCCTTAGTGCATTGGTTTATTAGTATTTATGTTTGTATATAAAAAATAACATGAGAAATAAATCTAGAAACCAGTCTTTCATTCTAAAATCTAGAATTAATTAGACACAGAAGTTGAATGTTGATTTCTAAGATTGTTGAATTATTGTAAATGGGAAGTTGCTGTTAATGGATTATTGAATTTTTAGAGATGGAAAGATGCTAGCCATAGATTTAGGATTGTTTCAATACTCTCCCTCATCTGGGTTGTATATGTTGATCATGTCTAGTTTTTTTATTAGTTTATCAAAACTTATTCTAGGTAAAGCTTTGGGGATAATTTTTATAATTTGAATGTTTTTTGGAATACAATATGATTTGGCAAGTAAATTTTTAATTTTATTTGAGGTAAAATTTTGATCTATCTCAATGTGTTTAATCTTGTCTTGATAGAAATTTTTTTCACTTGATGGTTTACATCCCAATGGTTGTTTTCTTGGTGAAAGTTCAGAAACTTCTCACGTACTATTTGTTTCTAAGGCCTAAACTTCTTCCTTTATAGCTCTCTTTCACTCGGGGATTTTGAGAGCTTAATAAATATTATTTGAAATTTGATTTTATCAAGAGAAGTGGTACAACAACAACATCAAGCCTTTATCCCACTACGTGGTGTTGTCTACATGAATCCTTTTTCTCCATTGTGTCATGTTAAGAGTTAAATTCTTATTTAAATCTAATAAAGAAATGTCATTTCTAATATTTTCAAACCAAGTCTTTTTAGGTCTACCTCTACCTTTCTTAACATAGGCAAAATCTAATACATCTACTCTTCTAACAGGGTCATCAAAAGGCCGACGTTTTACATGACCAAACTATCTAAGGCAACTCTCTCTAATCTTATCTGTCATTGGAACTACTCTAACCTTTTCCCGGATATGCTCGTTTCATATCCTGTCTCTAAGAGTAAGTCCACTCATCCACCTGAGCATCCTCATCTCAGCAACACTTAACTTAATATTATGCTTCTCTTTTAATGGCCAACATCTATGCCACAAAGCATTGCAGGTTTCACCACATATTATAAAATTTTCACTTAAGATTGAGTTGTACTTTTGTATCACACATCAAACCCGAAGCATTCCTCCATTTCAACCTTCCAACTTGAATTCTACTAATAATATCCTCATTTATTTCACCATCACTCTGAACAATAGACTCAAGATATGTAAAATGAGTACACTTATTAATGACTTGATCGCTCAAAGTCATAAACTCCCCACTAGATCTATTACTACTAAAATTACACTACATGTATTCAGTTTTAGATCTACTTAAATGAAAACCTTTAGACTCTAAGGTTGACCTCCATAATTTGAGTTTACCTTCAATTCTCTCTTTAGTCTTATCAACGAGAAGAATATCATCAGCAAAAAGCATACACCAATGTACATCCTCTTGCAAATGTCTAGTGAGAACATCCATGACTAAAGAAAAAGGATAAGGGCGTAAGGCTAATCCTTGATGTAATCCAACTGAAATAGCAAAATATTTGGTCAAACCACCTTGTGTTTGAACACAAGTAACAACTCCTGCATACATATCCCTAATGACTTGAACATAAGCATTATTAACCCTTTTCTTTTCTAGAACTCTTCATAGCACTTCTCTTGAAACTTTATCATATGCTTTCTCTAAATCAATAAATTTCATATGTAGATCGTCCTTAATCTCTCTACACTTCTCCATCAACCCTCTCAATAAAAGAATAGCTTCCATAGTAGACCTACCCGGCATGAACCCAAATTGATTTTGAGAAACATTAGTATCACGTCGTAACCTATGCTCTATAATTTTCTCCCAAAGTTTTATAGTATGTCACATCAACTTAATTCCTCTATTATTCACACAAATTTGTGCATCACCTTTATTCTTAAAATAGGAATTAACACATTTATTTTCATCTAACATTTTTTTTAGTCTTCAAAATAATATTAAAAAGTTTAGTAAGCCAAAAAATTCCTTCATCTCCTAAGCATTTACACACCTCTATTGGAATATCATTAGGTCAACTAGTTTTTTCACGCTTTATTTTCTTTAAAGCCTCTATAACTTTTGTTTTACTAATACGCCGATAAAAATAAAATTTTTATTTTCATTTAGAGTGTTAAGGTTACTAAAGTCAATCGTATTCTCATAATATTCATTGAAAAGCTTAGCAAAATATCTCATCCACCTTTGTTGAATATCCTCTTCTAAAAAAATATTTTTTCATCTTCATCCTTAAAACACTTTGCTCGAACTAAATCCTTATTACTCGTATTTTTTTGTTTGGCTAGCTTATACATATATCTTTCTCCCTCTTTAGTATCTAATATATTATATAAATCATTAAAAGCTAAAGTATTGGCATCGTAGGTTGCTTTCTTAGACTCCTTACGTGCACTTTATATCTTTCCCAATTATCAAAATTTGCATATGATCTATATCAATTGTTATAACAAATTTTTTTTTTTTAAATCTTTTCTTACATATTTTGATTCCACCGCCAACTATTTTTATTATTATGAGCTTTTCTTTTTGAAACGCTAAGCACACCCTTTACAACATTCTTAATATTATCAACTACTTTATCCCACATAACATCCGCTTTCTCATGCACAAACAAAATCTTAATATCTTGATTCTTACTCTAAAAAATATTTTTGTTAGTATTTTTTAAAAGCCCCCGTCTAATCTTAGAATAATATTTTACTAAATTTTTCATATTTTGCCCCTTCATCTTAAAATTTAAAACCAATAAGTGTTGTTGGGTACATAAAATTTCACTCGGAATAATTTTACAATCGTTGCAATCTAATCGATTTATTTTTCTTATAAGAAAATAATCAATCTGAGTTTTACTATATTCATTCTTATAAGTGATGAGATGCTCATCTCTTTTTTTAAATAAGGTATTAACAATTACAAAATCATAAACTAAAGCAAAATCTAATATAGTCTTACCACATTCAGTAGTCACTCCATACTCATAGCCACCATGAATACTTTTAAAATCCTCAACTTCTCTACCAGCATGTCCATTTAAATATCCTCCAATAAAAATTCTTTCTTCAAGAGGAATCTTTTGAATTAATTTTTCTAAATTATTCTGAAATTTTTAATTTTAAACATATATCCAAACCTATTTGAAGAGCATAAGCTTATAATATTAATAATCTTAGCATCAACAATAATCTTCAAAGCAATAATTATGTCTTCAATTCTATCAATTTTTATAGCATCATCCTTCAAACTTTTTTCAATAATCACACATACACCATTTTTTGTATAACTTCTACCAGAATACCAAAGTTTAAATCATAAACTATCAATCTTCTTAGCCTTCTTTCCAACCCATTTAATTTCTTGAATGTATAAAATTTTTATCTTCCTCTGAATCATAATATCAATTAATTTCATTAATTTGCTTGTAAATTTGAAGTCTAGTTTCATGGACTAGCTTCTTTGCCCACATCCGTCCATGATGTCGGAACCATTGCTTATTTAACACTGCACCTGGAGGCCAAGCATTAATACAGCGGCCCTTGCACACTTCTCGTAATATTCAGGCCATACAACGCGTCTCTTTCCAGGAACGTCCTAGCATTAATACAATGTATTAAAGGCTTCATGTTATGGTTATTCGACAAGGATTCATATTATGATTATTCGACAAGTTTTACATTTGTTGTCCACTACCTAACACAACCCTCTATTTTTCTCATACAGGAATTAAGACTTGACAATGACAGTGTTAAAAGTTCAGATGAAAGCCAAGACTTTAACTTTTTACTTCAAATTGTCCTCATCAAGTGTGATTCCATGGAAATGAACCTAGAAACTTGTTATACTTTACAATGCACTTTGTCCATTCTTGATGTCAATGTGCCATGCCAAGCATCCCATAATATATGAACATGGCTTAAATCACTAAGTTTGTCGTCCTTTGTTATTTATATAATTTCATATACAACAATATGGGTTTTCTCTGCTAAGTTAGCAAGATAAGGCTGCTCTACTTCTCCAAATAAAAAAGAAGGAACATGGTAGATCTCTGCAAAATCTTGACTATGATTATCTTTTATTTCAAATTGTATTCCGCGTGAGAGAAGATTTTCTATTTCTCATTGGGGACCATTATTTTTTTGTTACCTTGTTCCTATTGGAAATTGATTAATTGTTTAACGATGCTTAAGTTGAATCATAACAACATCTGAATAGTGAATACATTGCTTTTATATGGAATGGAGAGATAAAATTTTGTCATCTGAATAATTTTCACCATTAGATTGAGAAAACTTTCGACTCTAGTAAATAAATGTTTCCTATTTCTAAGTTATGCATTTACTTGTTAATAAAGGTACCTTTGTACTGTTTTTTGAGCATTCTGTACTGAATATCTATCACTAGCATACTATAGAGTATATTTGCCATCTTATAAAGTTTTTAGTAAAAAATCCGTTTTTATTTTCAGTTTCCCTCTACTTCTTGAAACTTATTTTTTAAATTTTGTTGCGGAAATAATTAAATCCATGATAAGAATTTCTTGATGAAAACTTTACTATTCCGACGCCACTTGTTGGAAGCGATTGTGTTTCTTAAGCTGTCCTGTAATGTATGCCATTGTCCTTTTCACTGTTTTTTTCTTTTCATGCAACAAATGGGATGCTTAGATAAAGAAATATACGATATTTAAGGTTTGCCTATTCCACATGTTTATTTGATTTTTTTTTTTTTTTTTAGCATAGCAATTTGTGATTTGCAAAGTCAAGAATTTTTTAAGTATAATATCGAAATTCCTTTTTACCAGCTGCCTGCTAGGATGGATCTCCCATTGAAATTATAAATGACTTGTACAAAAATATGATGTAATGATTTATCAAAAAACTACTTATTTTGTTTATAAATGTTCATTAAAATTAACCTTTTTTCATGCTTAATCCGGCATCATTACAGGCATCATCCGAGTGAGAAATCTGCAAGTTTATTTTTTACCATGCTTGGTGGCAATTTCATGTATTACCAGTTTTGTTGTGTTGACATTTTTTTAAACTAAATGCTCCATACACAGGTTTGATAGCAAGAGATTTTGCAGAGATTGCAGAAGAAATGTGCTCCGCGAATTCAAGGAACTGAAGGAACTAAAGCGGTTGAGGAAGGAACTCCGCTGCACTAGTTGGTTTTGTGTTGCAGATACTGCTATCCAATACGAAGTATGCCCCTACTTATCGCTTCAAAGCTATGCAATATTTTTCAATGAGTTGCTCCTCAGGCTGCAATATTTTCTTTTAATATTCTAAGTGTCAATGGATATCAATATGCTGGCTATATGTTTAAAGAGAAAAGGACTAAAATGGTCCCTCAACTCTTTGTGACAGATCAAATGATCCCCAACTCTTTTGAGGGATCAATTTGATCCCTCAACTCCTCCAAACGGGATTCTTTTAGTCATACTGTCAATTTTAAAGGGAGAAGTGAAATGGGCGCAAGGGTATTATCGGAATAAGTAAAAAAGGTTTTAAGAGATCGTCCCACAGTGCAGAGCAACATATTAGCGAATCCTCAAGGCGCAGCCAATCCCTTCTTCAACCCTAGCAACCGAGCAACCAAGCCCAGGGGCGAATCCAAAATCCCATAGTGCAGCGTAGCGTAACATCCTGCAGTGCAGAGCAGCGGCCTGCATTGCAGCTGCCTCCACTATGACCACGATCCCCAGTATCTCGCAGTGCATTGCATTGATCCCGCAGTCGCGCAGCGTTGATCGTGTCGATCCATGCCCCAGAAATCTTACGGCAGAATAAATCCTTATTTTTTCTCTTTTTGCCGTAAATCCTGAATTTACTAAATCCTATAGTTCGGCGGATTTACGGGATTTGGTCGAAGAAGCGCGCAAAAGGGAGAAAGTTACCTTCACAGCGAGCAAGCTCCCATCATTGCTTCCGATCAAAATGTCGTAACTTTCGATCTGATGGAAAGGGAATGTCGTCGAAGGAGCGAACTCAAACAGCAGCGAAGGAGCCGAAGAAGCGACTCGTAGAATTCTTAAGTGATTAATAAGATAATTAATAATATAATTTATAATTATATCATTATAATTTTTTAATTGGAATCCTACTAAAATTAAATCCTACTTTTTCTAAACAGCCCCTAAGAGTTGTTGAGACAAGTATATTAAAACTAAAATTTTTTAAATTATTAAAACTAAAATTATTTATAATTTTTTTATTAAAGAAAATTTTAATTAAATTTTTCACAAAAATTATATTTTTTAAATATTTTAATTAAAAAAGATCAAATTACTCTTATACTTGACACCATCAACTCTACCATTAAATGGTAGGACCAAAAAAGTCTCATTTGGAGAAGTTGAGGGACCAAATTGGTCCCTCAAAATACTTGGAGACTATTTTGATCCCTCACACAAAAAGTTGAGAGATCATTTTGATCCTTTTCTTTCTATTTAAATTATGTTCGTCTGTTGGATGGTAACTTATTTGGTGCTAACCATTGACTAATTTCTTCTGTTCAAGTTTAACTGTTGGTTAAACCTTGAAAACAATCATACCATGTACCTTTATGATTTATGTATTCCCAGGTATCTGAGGATTCAGTCATAGTTGATTGGCAGCATTCCTTCACAGACACAAGCACTTATCATCATTTTGAATGGGCCATTGGAACGGCTGAAGGGAAAAGTGATATCTTAGATTTCGAAGATGTTGGCATGAGTGGAAAAGTTGAAGTGAAAGGACTTGATCTTAGCAGCTTCAGTGCTTGCTTTATCACGCTGAGAGCATGGAAACTCGATGGACGTTGTACTGAACTATCTGTAAAGGCGCATGCTTTGAATGGACAAACATGCGTTCATCGAAGACTAGTGGTAGGCGATGGCTTTGTCACCATAACAAAAGGGGATAGTATCAAATGTTTCTTTGAACATGCAGAAGAAGTTGAAGAAGAAGAGGTCTGTGGGTACAAACCCATTATTATGCAATGATTTTTAAAGTGACAATATTTTTATTTCCATTATATTTTTGTGAAATAGGATGATGACTCCATTGATAAAGATGGAATTGAACTTGACGGTGATGGCTCCCGTCCCCAAAAACATGCCAAGAGTCCTGAACTTGCAAGGGAGTTCCTTTTAGATGCTGCAACGGTTATTTTCAAAGAGCAGGTACTGTGCAGTGTTGCAATTTTTTGACATATTTTGTATGCTAGCGTTTATTACATTTTCACTATCACTTCAATCATTAGCTGTAATAATTCCATTTGCATTAACTAATTGTTTATGTTTGGCGACTCTGTGAAAAATTAAGACTTTTTACTTGATTAAGTTTTCATGATAAATGTCCAAAACAAAATGTTTGGACGGGGGGTTGAACGGTTTACATAATTTTTTGTGTTTGCATTGGTGAAAGGATTACTCACAATGCTCGTTATGATGATAATTATTGAGATATGCAAGGGGCAGTGAAGTTACTAGCATTCTCTTATTCATCTGTTTGATTTTAATCATTTGATAAGAAAGGCTATATATGGTACATGCAAGGTTACATTCTGCTATTTAAGCTTACAGACAAATGATGAAACATATAATGGCTTATTATTTTTAATTCTTCAAGTGCTTGGACATCCCTATAGGAATTTCATAAAAAAACTAGAAATTTAAGAATTATCTTTGAAATTGGTTCAAACAAATACCCACTCTTCGTAGGCAGCCCTCCTTTTTGAAAGTCTTCAGTGGATTGTCCAAACGTTGTCTATAAGTTAGTTTCATAAGTGAATTTTTTTCAGAAGGATTTGAATTATTTGCATATTCGTCAGATTTAACATTTTATTAGGAATATTCTCTGCTTGTTAGATTGACTCAATAGATTCACTTTTATTTGTATCTGCATTTACCTTTTAAAACATGTTTTTTTATTTGTGATCAGGTAGAGAAGGCTTTCAGAGAAGGAACCGCGCGGCAAAATTCTCATAGTTTATTCGTTTCTCTTGCCATAAAATTATTGGAAGACTGTGTTCATGTTGCCTGCAAAGAAATAATTACACTGGAAAAGCAGGTAACCAATGATCCTTTGATCTTTCTGGTTTGCATACAAAACAAAGTGGTGGCTATTCCTGAATTGTAACTTGATAATGCATCAGATCAAACTTCTTGAAGAAGAAGAAAATGAAAAACGTGAGGAAGAAGAGCGCAAGGAGAGGAGGCGAAACAAGGAGCGGGAAAAAAAATTGAGGAGGAAAGAGAGGCTGAAGGAAAAAGAAAAAGATAGGGGAATAAAGCTTATTGAAGAAAAGCCACCTTGTATTGATTTGTCAACATCTGCAAATAATCCGCTCAGAAGCATTAATGATGAATCTGGGGAGTCACTCAGTGTTCCTAGAGATGATAAGGATACTTTGGAACCTACTCTTACAGATCTGACCGATGATACTTCAGTATATGAATATCTAGATACTATGAACCAACAGAGTGACAGCCCATGTCGCCAGGCTTATCTTGAAGAAGGTATATATTTAAGGGAAAGCAACGGCTCTTTTCTACTCAAGCAATCAAAATCATCTAGACGGAAATTACCATTTAAAAGAGCCTCTCTTCAGGACCAGTCTCCCAACTGGTATGACAAGCACAGATCTGCATTCAACAATGTCACCATGAAGCTAAAGGCCTCTTCCAGGTGCTTGAGCGGAGGACCGCGGCCATTTAGAGAAAGGGTTGGGAGAATGGATTCTAGGAATTGCATTGATGTGAGATTCAGTGAGAAGTTTCGCTCGTCGCAAGGCCGAATTCTTTATCAATCTGATTCTTTATCAGGTAGAACTAGTCATCCTGGCCGGTATCATATTTCTACTGTGAAAGGTGGTCGGGAAGTGAAGGGTGCAAACTCAGCAGATTCAATAGGGAATTTGCCTCGGCAACTGCCTCACTACAGTAAACACAATCGTGGCATTCTTCCCAAAGGGAAGCTAGTTACAGGTACTTCTGGAAGAGATCCTAACCACATGCGGCAAGTTTGGGAGCCAATGGACGCCCGAAAGAAACACAATAGAATCAACACAGAATCTGATCTTACTTCAAGTAATACTGCTAAGATCCACCCATCAACGTCTGATAAAGATGAAAAGGATTGCCACAGCCATAATTCACCTGAGTTTTCAAGAAAAGCCGGAGAAGTTGATTCCTTGAGGTTTTCTGAAAATCAGATGGATCATTCTAACGATTCAAATAATTGCCAAAATGGATTCTCACCATCTGAGAAACCTCTTTGTTTCTCAAAGGAAGTCACAGATGCGGACCACCATAACCCATCTTCCATCATCTCTACATTTTCCACGAATAACAGCTGCCATTCCATTATGACCTCTTCTAGTTCCGATAGCTGCTCATCCTGTCCTAGCGAGGGAGACAGCAGCACCAGCTTTTCAAGCACTTTGAATGTCGAAACATCGTCAACTTCGGATTCAGAAGATGTTAGCCAGCAATCAGATCAAAGAGAGAATTCAACTTGCAATGAAGATCCTTCTCTCAAAAACCAAAATATTTCACCAGACAGCAAGTTTGGCTCCAGAGGAGACAACAAAGTTGACTACAGCCATGGCGTTAGTTCAATATTTAATGTTGCCCCTCCGTCGCAATTACAGGTACATAATCAACTGCCTATGCCTACATTTCCCCCAGAGATTATGGGCTATGAAAATCAAAATACAATAACTTGGTCTGGTACTCCTATTAACGGACTAATGCCATTTTCCCAACACAACCACTACATGCTCCCAACTCCTGTAGGATATGGCTTAACTGCAAACAGATCTTCAGGTTTTGCAATGCAGTATAACACCCACACTCTGCAACCTATTTTCTTCAATTTAGAGCAGAATCGCTCATTCCATGGCGTTAGCAAGGACTGTAGAGCTTATCCTGCGAACCCAAACGAGCATTTAAGAAATGGTAATGGTTGCAGAGAGGAACAAGTGACCGAACTGGCAGAGCCAAAACCAAAATCCTCTGAAAGCAAAGAACTTCAGTTGAGTGAAGGAAATGACAAAAGCACCACAAAATCAAACGAGAGCAATAAATCCTTCTCATTGTTTCATTTCGGAGGTCCATTAGTGGGTGTGAAAATGGAATGTGCGAAGGAACTTACAGGAAATACATTGAAGCCGGTTGAATCTCTGGATAATATTTCTTGTTCAATGGAAGAGACGAAGATTGAAGAGTACAGTTTGTTTGCTGCAAAAAATAGTTCCAGGTTTTTGTTTTCTAGCTTCACCTTATAAAATAGGCTGCAGGAACGTCACTGCTTTGGTTGTGAAAGTTGAGTGCTTGTATTTGGCGACAATAATCTTTCTCAATGCTTTAAGTATAGTTTCTATTGTTTCTTCTGCTTTGGTCCTTTTTTTTTTCCTTACTTGAGGGCCAAAGAAGTGAGAGAGAGAGAGAGAGATTTTTTCCCTTTTGGTTGGTGTAAGGAGTAATTTTTCTATTCTGAGTGAAGTTTGTTGAGAAAATAATATTTTTGCAAATGACGAATGCATTTTTGTTTCTGTAGATTTTGTGGGAGGATAAAGATCAAGTACTTTGCGAGGATTAAGATTTCGTTTGGAAAGATTTCTTACTGCTTCTTAAAGTAATTTTACTAAAAACTTACTTTAAAAAGCAATAAAAAAGCCGTTTCAAACAAAGCGTAAAACATACACAACTCTCCTTGGCCTATTGGTTGAGAGCTTAGGCTTCCAACAAGAGGTTCAGGGTTCGAGTCTATGTGTATGCGTTGTGTGTGTGAGTTTGCCCTAAATGGCCTAAATGTCCCAAAAAAAAAAAGCGTAAAACATGGCTAAACAGCATCCTTCATATTACTTTGCACTCACATTTTATTCATTAAAACAAAATTTTACTTCCGAGTGGCTTCATGGTTGTTTGTTATACGGGAGTAATTATTACGTCCGGTCAAATCCGAATGTATACCAAGCAATACCGAGTTTCAGGTGACGTGACGCGTGGTTATTGGTCTATGAACGCGTTCGGTCACCGGACATAATAATTGCTCGTCATACGGCCGTTGATCTTGTTTAACATTATAAGAGTTTGCCTCCTGAAGCTTTCTTGATCTTTTCTAGGCACCATCTTACGGTTTGGTTTGCAACAGTTTTTTACCATTTTAAGAAACCGTATTTTAGCATAAATTTTTTTAATGTTTTTTTTTAACTAAGAAAATGCTTCATAAAACTAAAATAAAAAATAAAAAATTTGTCCCAAATAAAATTTTAGTTGTTAATTTTTTTGTATTTTTCTTTTGCTGTTTAGTTATTTTATAAAAGCTGGTTGTGCAAGTTCAGAGCACTGAGGTTTCCCAAATAGATTTGTAATTTGTGCTACTTTTTCTGGAAATGAAATACTAAAATTCTCATGGACTATTCATTTGTGGGTCATGATAAATCTTAAAAGGAGCTTTAAATAAATATCACCAAAAATTTTATTTTTTGTATATTTTATTGCATATATACAAATTCTAAGTGTGTTAGAGAAACATTATATTAAGTGTTGCAGAGATGAGGATGCTTAGATGGATGAGGGACTTTACTTTTAGAGACAGGATATGAAATGAACATATATGTGAAAATGTAGGAGTAGCTCTAGTGGAAGATAATATTAGAGAGCTACCTTAGATGATTTGATCACATAAAGTGACGGCTTTCGATGATCCTGTTATGAAAGTAGACGTTTTAGATTTGACTTATGTTAAGAAAGATTAGAGAAAATTTTAAGAAGACTTGGTTAGAAAATATTAGAAATGATATTTCTTTATTAGATTTAAATGAGAATTTAATTCGTAACTGGCACATTGGAGAAAAATGATTCATGTAGCCGACCCACATAGTAGGATAAAGGCTTGATGTTGTTGTTCTTATCTGTATTTTATACATAAAATTACGTGTTTCACAATCATATTTTGCTTACCTTCAAAAGAGAAGTTGGTTCCATCCCTGGTAGCAATTAGTAATTTAATACATTGATTCGCCGTATTTCTTTGCTAGTGAGAAGGATTTTAATCTGATAAGATGAGGAAGAAACTTGTGGAGCTGAAAACAAAAGAGAAATATTAGAAGAATGAAGCATGGATGGTTTGCTTCTAGTGATGGAACTATCCTATTGTGTACTATGTGGATCAAGAAATAGAGATATATAAAATAGTTAAAATAAAAGATAAGAAATGTAAATGCTTAGGTCAAATTATATAAATTCAAGTATAGATTATAGAATAATGGTTAAAGATAAAAAAATTAAGAATAATTAAAAAATATTGCTTTGAGAAACTATTAGATAAGAGCTTTGATAAAGAAATTAGATGGGACATTACAAGAAAATGGCCGATTTCTGATAAAATTTTCCGTTAGAAATCGACGAATATCTGTAAAAAAAATGCATTTCTAGCAAATTTTAGGCTGAAAAATTTTCACCAGTAAAACGTGCTTCGGAAAATAATCACTGACTAAAAATTTTGTGCCGGAAATTTTTATGGCAGATTTCTAACGAATTTTCGCCGGAATCTCTGCCTGAAATTTTCAGGCAAAAATACTGTTAGAAATCCTGTTGCTAATATTTAAAAAAATATATATATTTCATGAGCCAAAAAAGAAAACAACTCATTACAATGAAAGCAAGATTCAATTTTCTGATGTTTTATTTGTGAATCAAAGTCCTAGACTAAAAAATCAATAGTCTGATAATATAATAGCATTTAAGATAAAAAAACTCAACATACTCTAGAAAGTCACAACTCAACATAGAAACAAAAAATAAGTTTGGTATGCAAAATAATGTGATGACTAATACTGATCATTTTTCCTTATCAATGTCTAGAACATCATATCACGCCTCAAGATCTAACATGGAAGAATTTTTTTCTTTATTATCTTTCAACACGTTCTATTCATTTATCTTTCATTTTCAAGCAGATCAATTAACATCGAGAGCTGAATAATTGCATTACAGGGAAAAAAATAAACAACGAAAAAATAAAAATACCCCTCTATAGTCAATATTCATATTCTACTACAAAATTTCGAGTCCAAAATAGTACGTACAATAGTCACACTAGTTACAAAAGAATATATATAACTAAAAAATTTAAAATAAACTAAAACAAACATTATTGCCTAGCCTCATATATGCTACATGTTCCCAAATCCCAACCTTCATATCATGTAAGACTACGTAATGAGCATAAAATCTAAGCAAGTAACTGAAATCTTACAAGTAAAATTAATGTAATGCAAAATAGAAATAATATACTTATAATCAACCAATTCAATACAGTAACAATGAATTAGTAAATAGTGTACCAGTGATAAGTGTAAATAATGTTATTTTTTGTGTAAATTTTTAAAAGAAAATATATTGTTTTAGTTATGTTTGTACAAGAAAATGCAATAAATGAGCAACATTTTCAATTATAGTACAACATCACAACGTTGGACACTATACCGCCGCGACGTCATCATTGATATCGTCGAAGCACCCCATTATGGACATGACGACGCTCAGTCTCTATTTGACAGCATCGAAGAAGTCAGCGCCCCAAAGCTCAGTCTCTGTCTGCATAGCACTGTGACGTCAAATTTCAACACCGCCAAGTCAAGGGAGTGCAATGTGGACTACAGTTGTAACTATTCTGGCCACGATGTGCTAGCAAAGTGACATGTCGATTCATTTAACAGTTGGACCATATCAGCAAGTGCTGCAATGGAGGAAACCCTTCAGCATTGCGATGTTAGTTAATTTTATGGACGCTGCAGCGCAAGTTTCTCTAGCGTCGCAACACGAGAATCTATTTTGTATATTTTTCTATAATAGTTTATTTATAATGTTAGTAGATGAGTTCAGTCACTTATTTAATTTCATTCTTTATAGTTAATTCTCTGATTTTCCTTAAGAGTGACAACTAAGAAAATTTAGAGAAGTACTAAATACATTCTATTAGAGTGCTTGACTTGTATTTGTGGAAGTAATTCTGTAAGTTCATGAAGGATACTATTGGAAACATCCGGTGATATCTTTTCTTTTGTACTATCTTTCTTTTGTGCAATTAATAAAAATAAATTTGCTTCACTTTTTTCTTAATGTTTGGCTAAATTCTCTAATTTTAGATAGATGGTGTAAATAGAATGTTTAGTACTAATAAATTCTCTTCATTAATAATTTCAAAATATTTTCAATATTATACAAGATCTTCTTTTAATGCTCATAGTGGTCATATGTATAATTAATATCAGGTATAATGTGAAGCTTAGGAATAGGAAAGTAGGCAAAAACTGGTATGTTAGATTGGTATATGATGCAAGCATAAAAATAGTGTTGGTCATGTATTAAATTTATAGATATAAATTATCATAAGGGGTTTTAACAGTACATGCTTTACTTGATTCTCATAGGGTGACAGATCGATTATGAGATTTTAGAGTTGTATTGAGATTGAAAGGTTTAATATGTCATTTATCTCTTCACGTTTGACTGAGTGGTCGGTGATACTTATGTCTGAATAGCATCAATATAAAAGAGAATCATTAGGAAATATAGTATATTTACATTCAATCCAAAAAAATCCAAATATTGTTTTATTTAGTTATTTTTTATTTTAAATTAAGTGATTGAATCTCCGCCAAACTTATTTTTATTGAGTATGATAATTTAGATATTAAAGGTATTTTATTTATTTTAAATTCCTTAGTTTTGTTTTTAGTTTGTTTTATTACTTTTGTTCTTATTTATAAAAAAAAAATTGTTTCAAGAAAACATATCTATATCTGTAAAAAAATGACATAGAAAAGCAAGCAAGTTTTAATTTTATTATATTTATTTAAAGAAAACATTCTAGTAAAATGAAATACTTGAGTAATGTACATCAAAATATAAAAAATAAGTCAACTAAAAAAAATGAACACAAAAAAAAATTCTATCTTAGAAAGGTTAAGGCTAATATTCCATGTAGCATCAATTATGTGCTAAGTTGTGAGAGTGTCACCCTATTAATATTTAATTAGTATTTATTTTTTTAAAATATTCAATTAATTTAGGGGAGATTTTAAGTTCAAGTCATTAATGCTTTAAATATTTTATTTGGTCTTTAAACTTTGAGATTTCATTTTTATTTTAGGGTTTCAAGAATACCTCTTAAATATATAATGTTAACCCTAAATTTAACCTTGACATTTAAAGCATCCTTGATATAAAAAAGATTTACATCTTACCTAAGGGGTGAGGTGATACTTTATATTGCCTCAAAAGCAAAAAAAAAAAAAAAAAGATTTTGTATTAGGTAATGTATGAGAGAAATTTTTATTTTTAAGATACATGAAAGTTGAATATATTTTATTTATTATTGTTTACAATTTTGTGAAAATTTTTAGGCCATTTAATTAATTATTTATAGCTTAATAAATGTTTAGAGCCTAATAATTTTTTTATTTTTGGAAATTCTTATGGCCGCTTATTAAAATATTTATGTGGAAACATAAATATTTTTTAAATTTTTTAAAGCCTATTTAATT